TAAAGTATGAAAATCATAGATAATACATGCATTAATATAATATTCTATTAGAGGTTTAAATGTAGTGTTAGGGTTAGGGTTAGGGTTAGGGTTAGGGTTGGGGGGTTAGGGTTAGGGTTAGGGTTAGGGTTAGGGTTAGGGTTAGGGTTAGGGTTAGGGTTAGGGTTAGGGTTACCTAACCCCAGTGAGAGTGCGTACCTGCTGCAGGCTGCAGGTGAACCTCTGCAGGTAGGTGGCGCTCTCCTGCAGCGCCTCCTCCTGCTGCTGCACGCTCTCCTGCAGCTCCTCCCAGTACCGCCCGATCTGGGTCAGCCGGGCCTTGATGCGGGACCCCTCCCCCGAGGAGACGAACTGAGAGAGAGCCTGGGACCCCCCCTCCAGCTGAGAGGAGACCCCCCTCTGGGCCTGCAGCTCTGCAGACACAGCCTGGAGAGAATAATCATGGTTTTATATTTAGTGTTTGTTTTATAGAATATAGTGAATAAGAGCTGATGTGACACATAGAGTATATATTTTTTAAATGTTTTAATAAAATCAAAATGTTTTTCTTACGACTTATTTTATTATTTTTACCCGCTGCTATCTTTTATTTTCGTTTTTTGTAATCGCTAATTTTGTCAGTTTTTCTCTTTTATAATTTAATTGTATTTTGTGGTTTTTCTTACAGCTTATTATTATTACTTATTTTTCTTATCCTGTAATATTTGTATTGTTTTCCTTTTTTCACTTGTGTTTGTTTAGATTACCTCTCAATTATTATTATTATTATTATTATATATATTTGATTATTTGTTTTAATTCAACTGCATCTGAGTTTTATTGTATTTGATATGACAATGAAAAGACCTTCAGGAATATCAAAAGGTGTTTTCATTCCAGAGTAAGGGTCACACCTCTGGCCGGGTTAAAGCCCCCTAACACCAGTGGCTCTTTGAGTGAGAGTGATGCAGTTTGAACATCCTCTCTGTGCGGTACCTTGACGGAGCTGATCTGCTCCTCCAGAGGCAGCGAGGAGGACTTCAGGACCTCCAGCTGCTTCTCCTTCTCAGAGATCCACAGAGAGAACGCCTCAAAGTCCTGAGAGAACTTCATCCAGAGGGTCTTCATCTGCTGCAGGGTCTGCACACTGAACACAGCAGGTGGTCCGTTATCACACTGAACACAGCAGGTGGTCCGTTATCACTGAACACAGCAGGGGGTCCGTTATCACTGAACACAGCAGGGGGCCGTTATCACACTGAACACAGCAGGGGGCCGCTATCACACTGAACACAGCAGGGGGTCCGTTATCACACTGAACACAGCAGGGGGTCCGTTATCACTGAACACAGCAGGGGGCCGTTATCACACTGAACACAGCAGGGGGTCCGTTATCACTGAACAGAGCAGGGGGCCGTTATCACTGAACACAGCAGGGGGTCCGTTATCACTGAACACAGCAGGGGGCTGCTATCACACTGAACACAGCAGGGGGCTGCTATCACACTGAACACAGCAGGGGGCCGTTATCACACTGACACCATGATGAATATGAAATCATAATGTATTAAACCCTC